GGATGCGAAGACCAGTGGCTCCCTTCGCCTGACCTGCGCTCAGCGTCATAGATTGTTCAACATGCAAGGGAGCGTGAATGCAATTCTGTCTCTGCGGTTCCGGGAGGGTGCTGAGCCCTTTGGGCAGAATGACGGCTGCTCTCTCTTTCTCCCCCGCTTCTTTTTCCAGTGTGCATGTACAGAGAGCCATCCCTGCATGAAATCGGAGAGAAACAGGGACGCTCCAGGAAAAGTTCAGGGACGCCCACCATGAACGGAGGCAAAGTTGTCAACCAGGACTCAACATAGCGGAGAGACGCGTGCCACCCACCCCCTGCATCCGATGTCTCCCCGCCCGCCCACTCGTCCGCCCATCCCAGCGAGCCCTCACTGAGACAGCGATAAACTGAGCAAAGCAGGAGATTCCAGCCACGGCCGAGATTCTGAACTCAACCCTTCCCTTGGTGTCGTCGGAGAAGTTCTTGCTCTTGCAAAGTTTTAGAATACAGTACAAATACACACACACAGACACACAAAGTGAAGGGGAGGGGGGGAAAGGTATATATTTTCAATCCGGACTCCATTAACATTTTACAAACAGCAAAACTGTTTGCTCTGTGATTTAAGGGGGGAAATTGTTCATCTCTGCATAAGAAAAAATATAATTATAATTATAATAAATTATTCTCTAACAGTAATAATAAAAAATATACATAATAATAATAAAGGTGTTATCTTTAAAAAATAAAACACATTTGCTTTTGGAGAATTGAACTGACTTTGTGATGGGAAAGGAAGCGCGGACGTGGGTGAGAAGCGGATGTGGGTGAATGTGAGGCCGTTGGTTCCAAATTCACACACAAAAAAACTTTTTTCTCTGGCTTCCTCCCCCCCCCAAAAAAAAAAAAAGGCTGGGGGGTTCATGGCTGGGTTATCTCCAACCAGGAGGGAAGGGCAAACCTGGGCCCCAGAGGGGCAGAGGGGTGGGTGGGTAAGGGAAAATTGTTCCTTCCATTGGCCAAGTTGAGTGGTGTCCGACTCGTGGCCCCCCTGGCAGAGGTCTCAAGGTAAGTGAGATATTTAAGGAGTGGTTTCGTCAAGTGAGATATTTAAGGAGTGGTTTCGTCACTACCACCACTGCTCCGTGAGTTTCTGTGGCCAAGCAGGGATTTGAACTCAAGTCTTCTGAGTTCTCATCCATTGCTCTATCTGCTACCTCCATGGGAGTGGCAGGTGTGCAGACGAGATTGCTGGACTTTGGTGCCAACTCCACCACCCACCACCTCCCTGATGCCAGCATGAGCCACGGAGGAGAAGGATGGACACGGAAGCCCAGAAGAGGCATCCACTAGATCGCCTTCCTGAGTCTCACAGGTTTAGCCTAAGCCAAACCTCTGACGAGGGGCGGGTGTGTTTGTGTGGATGATCTCCCAGAGAAAAAAGGCTGTGGTTTGCATGTTGGAAGATACTGCCATGTCAGGGGTGTGGAACGTGTTTGCATGTCTGTGTACATATGACTGGAGGAGGAGCTTGTTTCTAGATGCACATGCGCGGCCAAGTTAATGTCTTCTTTGCCTTTTTGCTTGGGGGAAGCCTGGACACAATCGAGGGACCGCAAATTATGAAAAACACAGAGAGCTTACGATTGCTCATGTTTTGCTCTTCTCATTTTTCTCTGTCCATTCTTGCTCCCCAGGCAAGGATCTGTTACAGAGCTGCTTTCCCCCTAATATTGGCCTACCAGGCCATCAAACACACACACACACACATGTCCCTTAAGCCTCCTGGCTGTTTCTGGGAGGGGGGTGATGCTGAGACCTCCCCTTCTAGTCATGTGCAGTGGAGTGAGGGATGGAGCAGGGAGAAGAGTGGGAACGAACAAAAATTATCCAAAGGAAATCCTTGGCTGGCGGAATTTCATGCACAGCATTGCGGTCAACAAAATATGCACGTCTATCTTCAAGGTATTGTTAACCTGTGGAACTGATGGCAGGAGTTCCAGATGCCAGGGATTCTGGCCCAGGGGCGAAAACAGAGCCCAGGAAGGCAGGGGCAAAGCAGGGTATAAATCTACCAATCAAAGGACAAGGTGAGGCTCGTGGGCTTTTCCTTTCCAGCCAGTGGATGGAGACGTTCGTGGAAAGCAGGTGGACTCAGTTCATTGCTACGGAGTGGCCAGATCTGTTCCATCAGAATCGACCTTTCACGTTACCGATTGCAAGAGAGGTTTCCCGGTCTGTGGGACTCGCTCCCAGCCAGTGCCAAACCCTGGACATTCCACTCTTGAGAGGATGAAGGATCAACCTCCTGTGGACCCTCACCCGACTCTGCCTTGTCCAGCCATGGGTAGAAACGCCACCACGGCTGACGCTTGAAACCCATGGCTTGCACAGCTGTGGCTTTTCAGTGCCACCACCCTGAAATTTTTATTATTCTTTGTTGTTGTTGTTTAGTCATAAAGTCGTGTCAGACTCTTCGTGACCCCATGGACCAGAGCACGCCAGGCCCTCCTGTCTTCCGCTGCCTCCCGGAGTTGGGTCAGATTCATGTCGGTCGCTTCGATGACCCTGTCCCGCCATCTCACACTCTTGTCGTCCCTTTCTCCTCTTTCCCTCACACTTTCCCAACATCAGTATCTTTATTGCTTTAGGGTTAACTCAAGAGAGGTATTTCAAATGACGATCTGTGCCGCGACCTTTGACTCATGATCTGGGGGCACCCAGATGGCCAGCAGGGCTGCAACACCTCCCGGCCGACCCAAGACGCCAAACGCCAGAGGGTGTTGAGAATGGCTGCCGGAAGGACACGAAGTGGGAGCTGCGCCAGAAGGCACCGACCTGCCTGGCCCAAGTGAGGTTTGGCCTCGGGCCACTCCTCCCCAGGCAGAAGGGAATATGAAGCCACCCTCAGGGGCAGCGGAGAGCCCACCTGGCCATCAGGAGCCAAGCGTTGTACCCAGTTCCTCCATCCCCACCCTCCGCATCCCCCAAATTCCTGCAGCCCCTACTTGAAAAAAAGGGAGCCGCAGAGCCCTGAGCGCCAGTCCAGCTAGCTCGGTTTCGGGTATCCCAGAATCAGTGTGTTAGCAAATGTGCAATCCGTGCATTGGATTTGTTTAGAAGGGGGCACAGGACCGTCACTCACATTCCACCCCCCCCTCTCTCACACACACACACACACTTTATCTTCCAGTTCTCACCTATGGGTTCTTCTTACCCCTGGCATGGGCACACCCATCATAAGGTCCCATCCTGTGGTCTCTGGTTTTTTGCCCTGAAATCTGAAGGAATGAGATGCTGCTACGCCACAGCCACGCATACACTCGTGCACGTGCACAGAGTCTGCTCGGCCCCACCGAGGCCCTTCCTTCCTTCCACACCTGGGGTGGAACCCCCCTGCCTCTCAGCAAGGCCGGCTTCCAGAACCGGCAGAACGAAGCTGGATCCTTCTGGCGTCAACGGTGGAATGGCTGGAAAGACTTTCTCACAACCTCTGTACCCGTTTGGGGGGTGACACTGCCAGAACAGAAACTCAGAAGCGGCCCGTCTCCAGACATGACAGGCTTTGACGTGGTTTTCTTTTCCTGCCACCCATTTCTCTTTCAACGCGGGCCAGCCTTCCATCATCCCAGCTTCTCCCCTTGTCTTTACATCTCCAGACAGAAAAACGACCCCTTTTTTTTTTTCCAGGGGAACCCACTGGCTTTTGCTTCGCAGCTTGCAAAACCTGTCAGCCTAAAGGAGCAGGCTGAACCCAAGGCTCAAACCGGCCAGGACGACTGTGCTCGTCTAAATCACCTCCTAACTCTCAGTTTTAGCAGCTTTGCTCACATCCATTATTCATGCCCAGCAGAAACCCCTCTTGCTGCCAAGATGTTGGCAGTCCTCACGAGAAGCTCCTCGCAGGCAGTGGCTTCAGCGGCCGAGGTGAAATGTACAAAAGGGAGGTGAGGCTGCTGGGCCACTTTAAGAATAAATGATCTCAACTGGTGCCTTTGTTTTATGTTTTGATTTATTTAAAGGGAACAAGACATTCTCAGATTTTTGGCACACAGTGGCCCAATTCAGGAAGCTCCTTCAAGGCTCGGCGCTGACATCTGAGGGGCTGGGCGGTTTTATCTCTCATTTATTTTGATTTTGTTGACTACTTCTCCCTGGCCACTGTGAATAATAAAAGAGAAAGGCAGCATGGAAATCAATAGGCAGATTGATTCTCATGTGATTTTACCGCCTCTGAATGTCAAAAGTGAAGAACCCACCATCTATCTCTAAATAAATGTAATTGGTTTGCTTGATATAACCATGGTTAATTAAGAGAAACAGATAGTGTCATTTCTGTGTGGTTTCCTGTATGAGCTGTAAGAGCTCAGGGCTGACAAGGACCCAGCAGCCTTTCCCAACCGGGTGAGGGTGCTGACAAACTGGGACGATGGGAGTTGTAGTAAGGCAGAGGTTGGGGGTGCCACCAATTTGAAGAGCAAAGTGTGGCCTGTTGAGGGAAAGAAAAAGCATATCTTTGTTAGGATCCATTAAAATCTGATCTCTCCAAACCTCTCTACCTGACAAATTCCTCACCTTGGGTAACCCAGATGTTCTTGGACTAAAATTCCCAGAAGCCTTCTTCACCATCTGTGCTGAACAGGAATTCCGGGAGGTGTTGTCCAAGAACATCTGGAGGTGGGGACCCACTGGGCTTCAGGCCCATTGCAACGCTCCAGGCTTCTGCACCTTGCTAAGGAGAGATCGCCACACTCAGAATGGCCTCTTGTTGTTTTTCCCCAGAAGCCCTCCTTCCTCCCTTGCTAGCAAATCTCTCTCGATATCAGCCAGGGGAAATGCCTCTGCCAGACACCACCAGCCTCTCCTCTCCTTACGCTAGGCATCCTGTTAAATTACTCCCACTCAGTGGTGTCCTATTGATTCATGTCCTCCAAAAAGAAAATCATAGGATCAGTTACTCAGGTGTAGCAAACTAAAGCTGTGAACTGACGTTATTAAGTCCTTCCTTCTGATCCTCAGACTTCTTTTTTTTTTTCATGCCGTCTTCAACTTTTCCTACCCTTACGGTCTTTTCCAATGATGTGCCCAAGTACAATAGCATCCATCTGGTCATTTAAGACTCTAGAGACAGCTCAAGACTTGATTTGATCTAGGATGTGCTCGGCAGCAGGAAAAAAGGAAGACCAAAAGGGATCGACTCCATCAAGCAAGCGACAGTCTTGCATTCACCCGAGCTGAGCAGGGCAGCCGAGGATATTTTGGAGGTCACTCATTCATAGGGTCAGCATAAGTTGGGGGAACTGGAATACCAACCACAGAAGGCACTTATTTGTCTTATACATATGTTGGTGAACAGGTCCACAATGGGACCTTTTGGAGGTCAAAATCTGGTGGAATATAAAAACAATAATGTGGTATCCATAATGCTTTTCCCGAACACCATGTTTCAAACGAGTCCTCTCCCCGCCCCCCTTGTCAGCTTTCTTCACTGTCTAGTTTTCACACCCATACATGGTGATCAGGAATATAAGAGTGCAGAATATGGTCTTGGACTCCAAGGACGCATCCTTACACTTGACAATTGTTTCTAGTTCTTCCACTGTTGTCCTTCTAATGCTCAGTTTCCTTCTGATTTCTTGCCTGCAGTCTTCACATGATGAATGACCGGATGGAGTTACAGGAAATCTTAAACAATTTCAATTTCTTCCCTGTCAA